GTATATCATAATGATTAATCACTCAGTCTCGACATCGCTCAATAACTGACGACACAGTGTCATTGGTGATGGCCTCTATCTAAGCTGCTAAAAGCCAGACTCAGAATAGAACAAAAGAAACACCTTCACAAACTCCACGACACACGTCATGAGAGAGAGAGAACAAACAACAGATTGGTTGGGAGTGATTTCATTGCAAGACGACAGCTTTCCACAATTAATGGCGTAATTTGAAGCTTGATCAGATTCCTGCCTTGTAATCCATCTCGAGCTTTATGGGCAGCCATTATTGTTGGTGTAATGCAGTTACAAACAGCTTTCCCGAGTGGCGCTTAATGGGAACAATCACAATCTGATCTTTAAGAAGGTGCTGCACATATTACTGCAGTCAGACTGCTATGATATACCTCAACCCTTCAGCTTTGAGCTATCCCTTCACTTCCACATCAGCCCCTCCTTCAATTGAAAACCCTGCCCAAAGGATGGGTTTTGCCGGCATTTGAGCTGCATCTTTTGTGTTTTAAAAACAATTCTAATTAGTTTTATTTCCAATTTTGTTCATTGTAGTTGGCCTATGATTTGTTTATTGAAGAGCTGTGTGTTATTGCCTGCTGCGTTTCTCAAACAAAACAGTCAATTCACTTTACAATCTATTCTGTGAAGGTCTGAGACATCGTGAAGATGTGATGAGGAGGTGTATCAAATGCAAGGATTATTATTATTATTATTATTTATGATATCGACGTCAAACACAGCTCATGCCGAAGCTTATTTTGCGGTCAAAAAGAAAATCTTTGTTTTCTATCAGCAAACTGTTCTCATGATTTATCGTTTGATTCTTTCCTCTTTAAAGCTTACCCGCGTCTCAGCTGCCTCTGCCTCTCTGGGTATCGTTGGTAGATCTTTCCGATTGGAAACTGATCCAGGTTCTGATCCCATTTGTACGTTTCATGTCTTATGACGATGCTGTTTTCCTCCCTGTCCCTCAAAGCCTCCTCACCCAAGCTCTGGAGCTCTTGATCAATTTGCTTTGGGCAACCCGGGGTGCACTCATCTTCAGGGTCATAGGACAAGCTTGAATCTGTGTCTTGTTGCTCATCCTGTAGCTCATAGATAGCGTCATAATAAGACACAGGCTCGGGTGTGGAGTAGGACTTGTTTGGATCCAGAATTTCAGTCATCTCTATATCGCTCTGCAGTCTCGCTGTCTGTTTGGATGTTTTTCTAGAACAGACTGTATGCTGTTTGGGTCCCTTATTAGCATGTTCCTGTTGTCCAGTCTAATGGAGCGCACAGCTGTAACAGCAAGGGCAAAGAGGTGTCTCTACACATGGTAATAACAACATAGGAACCTCAGCTCCTCCTGACATGAGAGGTGCTATATATATATATATATATAATATATGTGTGTATAAATTTCATGCTGTTGCTGCTTGTATTAATTCAGAATGTTTTTTTTTAAAACCTTTCTTTAGGTGACTGCAACACGTGGAAACCCGTCACTGTGTTGAAGAGCGTCCAAAGAAAGGCCCACACGCTATGTTTGATAGTCTACTGCAGTGGCTGTGGTCAACAGCACAGACCAGTCCCCTCTGCTGGTCACCTGAGGAACAGCATCGGCCACAGCTCTGCAATAAAGAAGTGGAGCAAAATTGGGTTTCATTCATCTCCGTAACTAGTTCCTTGGTGCAGATCACCATCTTGTTACACGATCCGCTGGCTTTCTTGTGTTGCTGTGCAGCTGAGCTGATCCCAGTGTCAGAAACAACAACGGCTTGCACTTATTATTAAATATAATTTTGTTGTTGCTATTATAGCTCACGCAGGTTAGCGGTGGGAAGACAAATTTACCCCACAGCAGTTTGTCGCTCTTCCTCCTCCATAACCTTATTCTAGTCCAATCTTCCTCCTGGATCTGCAGTGCGATAAATAGACAAGATACTAACTGAGATCCAAGAGAACAGTACGACTGGAGGTACCGGGTTAAAAAGGCCTGAATTTTGGCGCATCACGAGTGCTTCCACCCACCAATTAAAAAAATATAGAAATAGAACTTTAATCGAGTGACACCTTGAGGCGTCTCAGTGACGTGATAAGGCACTATATCAAATGTAAGGATTATTAGTAGTAATAGTCGTTCTTTCCTATAAAGGCGATTATTAAGCTGCAGATGAACACGGTTTACCTTCACGCTGATAATTATTCCGAAACTGGCCTTTCCTTTTAGCCCATCAGTGAAGCTGTTCCCGACCGACCACAAACTCACCATAAACAATTGACGAGGCCCATTCCTCCCAGGCCGAATGCATGGGTGGCTTTCCCCGCGACATCTTCAGTTCCTTCTAAAGTTGGCTGGGAATTCTTTTTTTTTAAATGATCTTTACATAAAAGAACTTTAGACCCACATCGAACTGGAGTCCAGACACAAGCAGCCGGGAGCGCGATTTGAGACTCAATGAAATTTAGTGGAAGGTTGGAATCTGGCAAATTCACAAGGAAATCCCATTTCCCAAAGTCGTAATAGAGATGATTGGAAGTACAGATACCCATCCGGAGACTCTGCTGAAATCACGTTCAATGGAACAAAACATTTGTTCGAGGAAGCTGTTTGTCACCACCTGCTAGTCTGGCAACTTAGTCCAAATTTGTTGTAGAACTACTCACTGAGGTGATTGCCTTATGTTCCGTTTGATTTACTTTTGTGGGATTGTTTGTGCTCAAAACATGCCTCCCCCTAGACTGTGGGGCAGATGTTTGCCAGGATCAAGCTATTGCTAAAAAATCTGTGGGAGGGGTGTGGTGGGGGGGTGTTCAGGATAGATTTTACACTTTCAGATTTGTATTGTGTGAAATTTGGCTGCTCACAAGTCTTAAGATTAGATTTTATTAATTTGCTTGTGCGTTTTTGTGTGTAAGGAACTCAATTTATTCTGCTCCCCCTCTTGACCACAATACAATCTGGCACACTTCAGCCTTCACTGCGCAAATCCCCATTAGCTCCACCTCTCAGCTGGACTACTCGAACGCCCTCCTCGCCGGAGTGCCATCCACTACCATCCATAAAATCCAACTCATTCAGAACTCTGCCGCCCGCATTCTCACCCGCACCAAACTCCGCTCCCCGATCCCCCCAGTCCTGGCCAGACTGCACCGGCTGCCTGTGCCGTGGAACGGATGCTCACAGAAGAGCTCCGGGACACTACCCCGCCTGAAGGTTGCTGTATAAATGTAAGTTGTTGTTGCTGCTGCACACCGGGTGCGAGTGAAGGTTTGGTGCCAAGAATCTGACCTGTGTGTCATATCCCAATGACGGCCTTGCCATCAACACGGAGGCACTAATGGGTCTTCTTTCCTGGGAGAGAAGCAAGAGGAGAAATACCAATCCAAATATCCCAAGGTTTACTTCTGGCGATTTGCGATTGGAGAACAGCACTGTCGTGGGAGAGATGGTTAGCTCCCTCACTTTTTTTAAAAAAGTACAGGAATTTTTTTAAAAAAGAAAAGCCCCTCTTTTTGCATGATGTATAGCTTGGTACCCAAATTCCCAACACACATCCAACATTTTTTTTATAACAATGCTGCACGTGTTAAACAGACAGACATACAAGGTCTTCAGACCAGCAATTGTGTTGATTTCAACTAATCTGCTGGAGCAGGCACCATGTAAAAACAAAGCCTTCCCACACACAGATAAACCAGAGGGCAAGTCAAAACAGTGCTCCCATTGCACGCTTGCTTCTGTTATCACCGCGCAAAAGCAGCTTTGGCAACGGCCTTGAGAACAGATAAATAAAACAGGTTGTTAGTAGATGGGCGTATCGCTTTCCGGGCAGTAATAATCTCTTTTAAAAAAAAAATTTGATCACCCAATCCACGACTGTTTGTGGGACGCTGTTGTGCGCAATTGGCTGCTGCGTTTCGTCCTCAAAATAGTCAATTCACTTTACAGTAATAATCTGTGAAGCCCTTTGAGACATTTCAACGATGTGTTAAGGAGCTAGATCAAATGCAAGGATTATTATTATTATAATACAGCACCTGCCTTTCCTCTGCACTATCCACTGGCTGAAAGAACATTAGAAATTCTTAATCAAACATGTGCTTATTAGCGTCAGAAGGATGAGGTCACAACAAAACTGTCGACAGTATTCAACACTCCCAATAGCTGGGTCCTTCTTCACAGGATGGGAAGAATGATAAATCAAAGAATACGTTGAAAAATCTGCTTGCATTCATGTGGTAACAATACCTTCAATTCTCCCGCAGGTCTCTGGTCAAAGAAAGCTCGCTCGCTCCAGAACTGCATCTCATGTGCTCAAGGAAGCAGATTGGAACAACTATGGTTGCGATTTTGGCTGTAAACTCGTGAACAGCTGGAACAAAACCCTGTGGTCCCAAGAACATTGCCATGGAGTCAGGCATCTCCTGCGAAGTGCACTTCCCTGGCATCCATCTCTAACATCTAGGCAATGCTGTACTGACTTGCTCTCCACAGACAGGTTGTACACGTGTCGGTCACACAAATACCTTCGTCAATTTACCTGGGAGAAGGTATCGAAAATTTCAAGGCGCCGCAACACGAGGCTGGAACAGGAACAAATGGCCAAGTCTAATTAATACTCAGAAATGGCTCAATATTTCAAGAAAATCTAGCAATTAACAGGTCGACAATTATTCACCCACTTTTCAGCACCCGAGTGTTTTGCTGACAAGATATTTGTGCTCAATTACAGTTTTTGCGAAGGCAATACATTCAGTTTATCTGCTCCTTATATTACTTAAAACTGAATTAAGAATAAACATGTACATGGCGTTTCACCCACAAAATACAGTCAATCCACTTAACAATATATTCTGTGGGACATCTTGCATATGCAAGGATTATTATTATTCATCTCAGTTGATACAATTAAAACTTTTGTTCACTTCAATTTTAAGTCACCAAAAGGACACAGTTGGTCGGGTCTTTGGAAAATAAAAGTGTACACTTTGGGCGAATCTATTACAGAACTGCTTTTTTATTTATAACATTTGAGCAAGATTTGCATACAAATTCAGAACACTAATGGATCAAGCATAAATGCCCTTAAAACCGTCCCAAATTAAAATGAATGCAAACAGTATTTTTGAATGTCTCTGTAAATTTCTTGAAGGGAGGATTCGCACAGAAAGAAAAACTGACCTGCACTAAAGGATGTTTAAAAATCTTTATGCAAAATGGCGTTCACGTCCAAACCATCACGTATCAACAGCCGATGGCGAGTTCGTAAGGGACAAACTATTACTACGGTTATTGCTAAATATCACTACGACATGTAAAAAAAGTTTTGACTGAATTCATGGTAAAAACGGGTTGTTTCTTTATACAATCAGGGAGGTGCAATTTACTTCCGAGTAAAATCACACTAAAATCAGCACCAGAACTGTTGGCCCTCACACTCAAACAAAAAAAGTCCCATTTATTAAATGTCCTATCATCGATATCTAGACAGACAATTCGAAGGAAGAATTTATAAGTACAGCTGAGCTGGCGCTTCCAAAAGTCTCTGCGTGTAAAGCGGAGCCAATTCTCTCAATACAACTCAATGTGGTCCGTGGGGCGGAGGAGCTTGTCAAGAGGTGTTGGCAGTTGTGGCTGAGCTGGTGTCTGGGAGTCGGTTTTGCTGAGCTTCCTGTTGAGCCACTGTGGTTTGTCGTTGAGCGATGGCAGCGGCTGAATGTTTGCATTTCTCCGAACCGCACTGACAGGTAAAAGACTTGCTCTTGATGTCCCAGAACCTGTCTCCATAGTCAAACCTACAAAAGAAATAGTCGTACGTCAAGAGTTTCGTTTAAACGAAAGCAAATTGACCGCTTATTTGCTGAGTGTCATTTGAAGGTATTAATTTAAGGCTTGATTGCCACTGTTAAATTCAAGCATTTTGTTTGTGGTTAATGCATTAAATCATTGTATAAATCATAAAACAGCTACATAAATAATACATTTCTACCCAAGCAATAGCCGTCTTCACCTGCATTGTGTAGAAAGTGAGCTTAACCTAAACCTGAATTATCTAGATCTATCTATTCAAACAACCTTCCCACGTACTACAATCAAACAATTTGTGTGTTTCAAATATCTATTTCAGTCACTGCTTTATTTCTCTCCTCATCCAAGTCTCTTCCTGTCGTGGATCAAATAGATCAATGAATCAAACAGAATAGAAAGTGTAATCAAAAAAAAATGATCTTGGGTGCTTTATAAAATCCTGCTGCGCTGAATATTTATACATTGTGGTAGACACTCAGACGGGGGCACTTATGAATTTGCAAAACATGTTCTGACAAAAATGATTAACTTTCTGGATGGCCTTCCTTTGTAGATGTATGAAGAAGAAAGGCGCAGTTCTGAGCTCGACTTGTGAAGACAGCTGTGAAGTTCAATCATCTGATGAAGTGTCTCAAAGTTAAATGCTCACAGAAGCACAACTCTATAACAATAGTGCATTCACCTCCACTCTTACATAAGAACATAAGAATTGCTAGACGAAAGAAGACCAAGGTCCATCCAGTTCGCCTTCCACCATCCTGGCAATCACATACACACGTCATGTCCCAAACTATACACTGTATATAGTTTGGGACAAGACATAATACTCCTCTTCTACCAAGTGTGTTTTCATCTGGATAAGAGCAAAGAGACAAACATCATGTCAGAAATTTGGCCAAGGAACTGAAACGGTACTAAAGTTTGGTGGTTTAGGTGCCTCAGAACATCTCTTGTATAAAGCTCCCATCTGTTTTCAATTTGAATCACAACTACGGCCATTCTTCTGTCTGTTCATCTTTTGCCTTTCAGACTCAGTATAATTCACCATTCTGTGTCCGCGTGCGAGCTCGAGTCCCAGGACCGCGAGGTGAGCACCAACATCTCCAGCAGATTGTGTTTTGGGTAAAACAAACTGAAACATACTTGTGTATTCAAATGCGGTCGGTCCCTGACATGCATTTTATTTTGTTTTTGAAAGCCTAATACAGATGGATTGAAAAGCACACGGTATTGCTGCTTAGTTAGGCAAGTCCCGAGAAGTGCTGTCGGCCTTTACCCAAGCTCCTCGCCAGTCTTGATGTCTCTGCTGCTGAAGAATGCAATTCTGGGGAAGCGGAGGTCCTGATGTGACATAAACACCCGCACCGGGATCAGATTTGGTTCGCACAGATGGTTCACAAAGCGGCTGATGTTTCCATAGTAACGAGCATCAATGCAGTACACCTCCCCTTCCTGTTGGAAGACGAAACAAAAATATTTATGGTTATTTCCCGTTGGGCATCGAACCACAGAAGAGGAATCAAGAGTGGAGTTAGCGTGGCTGCTGGGTTTAGAGAAGGGAATAGTTTTGGATCTTTGACCGCAGAAAGGTGGGGCCATCCTTCCTCTCCATTTGATTTTGTGGTTTTGTCAGTTGTTCGCGTAATGTTTCAGTTATCTCTGGAATACCTCTGCTCTTATCCAGAGGTTACCAGTAGATTAAGCTCAGGAGGGCCACATATCATATGGGAAATGCACAAAAATAAGCAACGATCCTCAAATCACATTCCCCACTGAACATACTGGATGAGTCACTTAAAGGCTTAATTACCCTCAATTTAGCTGTTCAGGTTAAGCTGAAAAAAGTAGAGAAATTCAAGAGGCAGTTTAAAGCTAACATTAATTACTTTAAAAACGAGTAGAAAAAGAATCAATATTGCAGTACAGTATCTATAATATCCAGATATTTGGTTAATTTTTGTCAGGTCACAGGGTATCAAGCGATATGGGGCAAGGGCAGCTAATTGGAGTTGAGCTACAGATCAGCCATGATGTAATTGAATGGCGGAACAGGCTCGAGGGGCTGAATGGCCTCCTTCTATTCCTGGGTTCCTACGCTCCTATTTGTTCACATCGCTTTCTGAACGAAACTACTCTTATTGACATACATTAAACAATCGAAAACTTGATCAAATGGAATGCACTGGTTTAGAGCATACTACAGTCATTGCTTTTCAATTTACAGCCTCCAGTCGAGAGGGGAGGTGAAGGCACGGTTGAAGAGAAAGGCCTTGAGACCGGCCTTGAAGGAGGAAAGGGAGGAAGCGGCGAAGGCACTGGGGGATGGAGTTCCAGAGCCTCGAGGCTGAGAGGCTGAACCCGTGGGAAGAACACCCAGACCCTTTCCTATTAATTGTTTATCTGATCCTAAACAAGGAACTGAAACAATCACTGTTAATCCACAGGTCTGTCAGAACCTCAGCGGCGTGTAAATAATACCAAAATGTTAAAAGGATGTTTGCGTTCCTTTGATTAAAATGTTATTGTCTCAAATAAGCATTTTTCTGTGACAGTTTCAGTTTGAGAACATGGCTAATGGGCTCCTTTGTCACTTGCAGCAATTTTTAAAAAAGCAGAAAACTAGCAGATTACATTTAACAATGGTTTTGCCTTTACTTTGAAGACAAAAGGCACATTTTCTCTTTGTAACTTCTATTGAACTAGGTGGACATTTTAGGGCAAAAGGCATAAAGTTCAGGGTTCAGTTAACCATTAAATGAATCAACTTGCAAAGTGCCACCTTATTGCACGTGTCACTGTAAACAGGGAAACCGGTCTGGCCAAGTGAAACAATGAGTACCTTATTGTCAAGGTCAAAAAGATAGGAGTCCTCTTCCCGCACATCAGCTTCTGCGTCAGTTATAAGCTCCCCGACGTACCTTGGACAAAGTAGAAAGGTTCATTTTGATCGTACTTTTCTTGATCAAGTGAAACGAATGCTGAACAGAAACTGCCTCTGCTGTGCGTTGCTGCCATCCGTTCAATAAACTGACCTTAAGCACCAACAGGCTCAGGGCAGTGACCGACCGGACAGTCAAACATATAAATGAATGATTGTAATGCCGATGAATTCTGCAGCGTTGTATAGAAATGTCAAAAATGCACATCGAGAATTGGTGGCCATCACAGGCCAATGTTTTGCTGATTACGCCCCCTGGTGGTAACACGACAAGTCCTTCCACTTGAAGGCACCGGCACCAGAGAAGCCAAGTGCATTTCACAATGGATATCAATTACCTAGGCCTAGATTTACGCACCGCAGCCATGATTTCTGAACAGATTGGATGGCGTCAGCGCTAAGGTAAGGCCAGACAAAAGGCTTGGGAGACACACGCCTCATTATCACGTGGCCGCTCATACGCTGGTTTCCAGATATTTCAGGAGGTTACGGTATCTTTACAAGTCATGTCTTGATCTTAAATGGAAGCAAAATCCTTTAACTAGTATAGTAGTTGTATTATTTAAAATAGCACCACCTCTGGACGTACAGAAATCCCTTAAAGCATAATCTACTAATATAATCCCAAGCCTGAATCATTTACTTAACCCTTTGTTTAATATACAATGAAGGCAAAAAAAGTCAATTATTTTGAGTAAAGTAAAAAGGTTTGATCTTTATCCTCCTCTCTTGGTATTCTGAGCAGCTCCCAAGCCTAACAGACATTTTCACTGCATCTCTATGTACGTAATTATTTCTGTTTTTTGGCTTTGTGAACACTTACTCGCAGATGAAATTACCCTTTGGAATGTCTTGCAATGACCGTACGCCCCACCCCATCTTGTTTGTACGGTAGATCTGCAATCGAACCCTATGAATGAGAAAGAACAGCCCAGTGAGTGAAGCTTATCAACCAAATGCTCAGTGCAGCAGAGATCTGAGCACTGATATTCGTGAAGACCTAAATGGATCATTAGATTTACTGTTTAAATTTTACTATTGAACGGAAAATAGTTTGGCCACGATTACAATGAATGGGAATAGGCAAATAGTTTGGAAAAGCTTGTCAATGTTTAAAGGTTTAATGGCCATTACAATGAAAATAAAAACAACCCTCCTATTATTAATTTTTTTAGAATTTTTTAAAAGGATTATTACCCCCAGAAAAGTAATCCGCCAACCGAATAACAACTGGGTTCCTACTTACTGCTGTTAAGCAGCGGCGCATGGAGTAAGAAAACTTGCTTAATGCTTCACTCCGCCGGGAATCGAACCCAGGTCCTCTCGCTTGCGAGGCGAGTGCTCTAACCACTACTCTACGGGCTTGTACTTAAAAGCATCACAATGCATTGGGTCTGACCTGACGCCGTTTTGTACCACGCGGTTTTTACAGGTCCTCCAGCATCCACAGGCATGATTGCACTCGAAGATAAGCGGTGGCTCCACCATGTTGAATTCAGGAAGAAGTCGTCCGTTCTTAAAATGCAAAGAACAATAGTTTGTGAAAACTGAGTTGAAATTTCCATTAACGTATTTTTTTTAAAAACCGAGCAATCGAAAATCAAACCTGTTTTAAGATTTGAGTGCTGTTGTGAGAGATGCTCAAACTTAATTAATGTTAGCTCCTTTTTCCCACCCCAATAAAAATATCAAAAGCTTTGCTTGTCACACATGAAGCATTGAGAAATTCAGAATCGTCTCCAGGAGCAATTGTGTATTATAGTGAACTATCCCCAACTTGGGAGACACAGAAAAATGGACCTCTGCATAAGAGGCGTTTTCAGAGCAAAATACAACTAAGCTCAAAACAGTTTACATACCCGGTCATACCAGCAGCGTATACTTAGTTGGCCACACATGCAGTTACTGGAGGAGCAATCATCTTCACAGAAACAGTACTGTACAAAGAATAGAGTTATTTTAGACAGTAAAATTAAGACATTTGAAGATTAATTGTGCTATTGATTTTTTTAAAAATTTTACATCTTCAAGACGTCTCAAAGTGCTTCACAGAATACATGTTAAACTGTGCATTTTGTGGGCGAAACGCAGCAGCCTATTGCGCACAAGAATTCTATAGTCTTACAGCAATATTCAAAGCTTTACTGAAGTGCTGCCTATCGCATTGGTATTCTGCTGAATGTGTGGGCAAGGTTCCATGCATCTGATAAAGGGTACTTAGGCTCTTAGTGAAAAGGAAGGAATCTTGTGTTTCCTCCTGTTGTTAATCTAGGAAGTGCTATGGCATGTGGCAACAAGTAAATTACCAGATCTGGATTTAAATAAAACACAAAGTACTGCAGATGCTGGAAATCTGAAATAAAAATAAGATTGCTGGGAACATTCAGGTCAGGTAGCATTTATGGAGAAGGAAAGTGTATCAACGTTTTGGGTCCATGACCCTTCGTCAAGAACGGTAACTGATCTTAGCTCAGTCTGATCTGAACTTAGCTTGGTCACTGCAACCAGAAAACAACTCAGCTCTGCTCATTGTTGGAGGGATATTTTGCAACACAACAAGAACTGTCCTGTCCCACTCCGCAGAAGTCTAAGCCCAACCCGAGCAAAGAAGCATGAATGTGAGACGCTTTTTTATCTGCCAGTTGTAATAGGACCGTCTCTCTCTCAATTTCCAATGATACTTCGCTGATAAACCCTCCCTCATGACTGTATAAAGCTGTTGGGGGTGGGGCGGGTGGGTGGGGGAATCGTACCTGCAAGTGAGTGATATTCCTATCGATGTTCATTGGAGACGTTACACAGTTTTGGGAGACATATTTATAGTCATTTGGACAAGGTTCCTCATCCACACCGTTGACACATGGAATTGGTACATGTTCATACCCTCTAGCGATATCTCTGTAATGCGGATTTTAAAAAAAAACAATGTATATGAAACTTTTTTTTAAAAACGCTCTGAAGGCGAGAAGCAATGGAACAAATAATGGGAGCATAAAATTAAGAGCTGTGGGTGGGAACCAAGGCACCAATCAAATAACAACCAATGCCAACATCCCTTATCCAATTCTTCAAAGTTGTGATGAGTGGTCTTAGAAAGAATTCAAATAATTGTCTTAATATAATGTGAAGTCAAAGATTGCAATGATAAGGGTAGTTTTCAAAACGTCTACTTCTGTGACAAACTTTGCAAATGCTCTCCCTCCTCTTGCTAACAGGAGTTTTCTGTGTTGAAGATAAATGGCCAATAATAACGTAAAAATTGAATGAGACCCTCGTGAATGCAATGAACACAAGAGTTATGACTAAGAAAGCTCATCCTTTCAGAACACCATTCCCACATCAACTATGGAATGGAATACAATTTCCTTGCTATATGTCTTCATAAAGTATTCCGCTTACACTATACTTTAATAATTAATTTGATAACATTAATTAAGTGACAAGGCGAAAGAGACGGATTTAATGCTGTTCTATGTTCTGTGAGGTTTGGTTCCAGTACGCTTAAAGTAATCATCATCATCATCATCCTTGCATTTGATATAGCGCTTTTCACGTCTTCTAGACGTCTCAAAGCGCTTCACAGAATAGACTGCAAAGTGAATTGCCTGTTTATTTGTGGGCGAAATGCCAAGGAAAGTTACACAACGTGATGTGGGTTCATACCATGTTTTTGCTCTCTTCAAAACAAGATCTGCATCGAGAAAAGTCACATGTGGAGCAACGTCAGCACCACAAAATACAAAAAAAATTTCATGGGAATGTTTATGGGAAGTGTGCTACCGTACCAGAAATAGATTTGCTGAAAGACAATGTACAAGCAAACAGTAACAGTGTTCCAGGAAATATACAAGATCAAACATTATACATTGTTTAGCTAAAACAAAGAAAGACATAATTTTGTTGCATTATACCTGCTAATCAGCTTCTCAGCCTGAATGGCTTTGCTGGCCGCTGCTTGTTTCAACTTTTTGTTCACCTGCAGAGCAACCCACACTTGTGAGTTCAGGCTTGAGCACTCCAGCGGTGTCTCTCCCTCTTTATTCTTGATATTAACATCAGCACCACGTGAGAGGAAAAGCCTTGATGTGCACATGGAACCAGTTTGTGTGTTAGCATAGTCATAAACCTGAGCTATTAAGTTACTCAATTGTCATAGACTATAATGCGTTTCCACTTGTTTGGAGATCCCTTTGCTTTTCGGTATTTATCTTTGTACACTACAATTCTATCAGTAAATCCATACAGACTTGAGTCAGCTCGAGTGAGATAGATGCACAAAAATACAGCGGACAAAGTACTACATTTTAAACAGCTTTTCATAACAGTCTTTTCTGTCTTTTATGATAAGACAAGTTTGCAGGTATAAGCCTCTCTATTTTCTTCCATGTCTGCGGAAAATGTCTGCTGTAGCTTAACCAATAAGAAGAGGACTTCACTGTGACTGCTGAAAAAGAAGCCCTCGGGAATACCCTAGAGATGTTGTCCTAACCGGGACAGAAAGGAAACGTGAGTAATGAAACCTTCTACACGGGCAAAGTAAACCCACAATAAAAACTATTTAGGGTAGATTTAAAGTGAAAGCTGCTCTGAGCCTTCAGCCTACATACACCAAGTACACTCACTTAGTTTATGGGCTGGGTGGGGGGGTGGGGGTAGTGTCAAGAATTAATTTGAGTGGAACCTATTTATATATTTGTAGAAGTACAAGCATAAGTGAAAGAAGAATTGCAGTTTATTCTGAACAAACTGTAACAATAATTATAGTATGTCCCTATATTTTATTATTGAAACTCTTGAAATGTGTGTATTTAAACCACAAGAGAGAGACAAGTGTAGATTAAGATGGATCACACAAATTGTATCAGGTCAGACAGTAAATAGTGAACCTCTCTTGGTTTTGTGAAGTTAGCATATTGAACATGGTACTTACACCACACACTCGTAATGGTTTTCCCTCGATGCGATGTGTAGAGGGGAGTCCCCGTGCATGTTTACTGCAAAGAGGTCACACCTTGCATTCAAGAAGATCTCAGCAATGTCCACGCAGCCTGAGAAAGCTGCCCAGTGCAAACAAATATTCTCCTCCTGTGCATGGGGAACAGGATATGAGCACAACTGTAAGGAATCTGTTACCAGATGAGATTTCGGAGATCTTAAAAGATACTTATAACTATTTTCTTATCAAAAAATGCGCTACGAAATAAAACACTTACAAAAATTCTGCAAAATTTTCGCCCACAAAATAGTCGATTCACTTCACGGTATATTCTTTGAAAATAGTCTCTCGAATACGTGATAAGGCGCTGTATCAATTCCAAGGATTATTTATTATAAGATTCACTCAAAAACTGCATTTTGTCTTTTGCACTGCATGGTAACAATTAAATAACCTGTTCGAAAATCCACTGAGTTTCAACAATTTAAAAAAAATGTGACCCAATTTTAATAGGGGCAGCTCCATAATAATGATAATAATCCTTGCAGTTGATATAGTGCCTTATCATGTCTTTGAAACGTCTCAAAGCACTTCATGGAATATAGTGTAAAGTGAAATGACTATATATTTTCCAATATACACAATATTTTCCTATACAGAACATTTTCCATATCTCGCAATCCCATGTCACTGTTTCTGGTTGCCAATGTAGCTCCCAAGCTTGACGGCTCTGATGATGTTAGAGGCTCTGTCAGCACTAAATTATTTAAAGGGCCAGCAGCATTTGATTGGCATCCCCCTCAAAAAAAGATAGCTAATCTTGCTGAAAGGATGCAATGCCCAAAGTCAGAGCTCAAGGCTAGACAAAACGAAGAGCGAAGCTCCCTCTGCTCAGTATATATATATATTATAATATATATAAAAAATAGATCAGTCTTTTTTCAGTAGATCCAACTCTAAATTACAACTATCTGAATCTACATTGCAGACTGTCATCAAGATTCCAATTGTAATTATGTATAAACTGAATTATTTTAATTTTAACTTTTTAATACTCTTCTTTGTGACTCGTACTATTCACTGTGGTTTTACCCAAGGGCTGTAAGTGACTCACATTGTCCCTAATGTTGATATCGGCTCCTTTTGACAGGAGTAGCTTTACAATATCTATGTGCTTATACTCGGTGGCCCAAATCATGGACGTCCAACCTCCATCATCCTGTCCAGAAAATACAGACAGTATATGAGTAAACTGGCAAAACAAGTATTGGATTTGCTCATCATCATTTTCATATACAGATATATTCTTTATTTTTATATCAACACTTTAGCAAACTATCAGTGGAATTATATACACAAATAAATATGCATCCATGAACCAGTAATATATAGACTTATCATGAATTCCAACATCATATAACACACAGCCCTGGCTTCTTTCCCTTCCCCATTATAATACAGGAACTGTGAGGACCAATTGTTCCCTTGCACTGAAACACACCAGGATCAACCAGGGGCATTTTGTGGGACGTAGGGCTAAATATTACACAGAGCGACACATTTCTCCACTCAGTCATTGGGAGAAGGGTTGGATTTGCCATTATTAAATTAAATTGCATGATTGGTTAACTAGTTTACACATATAGCAACACTATGTTCCACTCCGCTTTCACAAGCAAAATGTCTTGCTCACCTGACAATTCACATCTATTAGTCCTGTGCACAAGAGATGTACAACCACGTCATAGTGACCTTTCTTAGCAGCCAGATGTAGGCACGTTGAACCCTCTACATCCTGAAGTAAAATTAGAATACAAATAAATATGAAGTAGAAGTACACTCTTATACTAAAATACCTACACAAATAAAGGCAGTTATCTTTAACAATGGTACCCTTCTTACAATATTGCACCATGGCAGCTTAGCACAGAACCAACCAATTCATTTTATTTCTTTATGAAGTTAAAATAACGATAACAATCCTCGCATTTGATATAGCAAGTAGAGACGATGTCTCGAAGCACTTTACAGGATTTACAGTAGAATGGGGCAGCCAGTTTTGTGCACAACATGTTCAGGGAACCCAAGATATTCCAGACTCTTGCAGTAGTGAATCATTTCCCATTCCCTCAATCAGGTTTTTCTAACTCTTTGCAGTATCCGAACCATACAGTCGCACGTTTCACTTCCCGAAAGTGCAAATTAAATCCAAGCAAAGAACTTAATCCTGTGAAGTATTTATCTGCAGCTCATTCTAACCTTGTGATCTCCCAGTGCGCCGGCTTTCAAGAGGTATTTAACGGTTTCAAGTTGGTTGTTCTCCGCTGCTTCCATCAATGGAGTCCTCTGGTCATCATCACAGGTATCTAGATTAGCACCAGCCTGCAAAACAACCCAATAGGAATTATTTTCTTACTTTAAAAAAAGTCAGAAAAGTTACTTCATTCTTAATCCCAAGATGATCTATCACGGTTTACAATTAAACCTTTTCTCATATACCTTATTATTACCCCACAGTATGAAATTCTATAGTTTATGTTTACAAAGTCAAACTAGACATTACCACTATTCATTTTAGCGTTCATCTCTTTCACCTAGAACCTTTTTTTTAAAATAAAAGAAAAACAAAGATGGAAAAAATTTCAGTGAATCAAACTGCTGGTTCGAGTTAAGTTTCCTATTCAGAAGAATACAATTCTAAAATACAGCCAGGGCCCAGGAGGAAAAAATGCCAAGTTCATTATAATCAAGTGAATAATAGTGTTAAATGGCATCTTCAAACTCCTTTCTTCTTTTAATTCTCACTACTTTTTGATGCTGAATTGAATACTCGCTCATGATGATCAATCTGTCAGAATTGTGCATCAGTCACCCAAAGGTGTGACGCAGAGCCCAGCTGCTCAATAAAAGTTGACAAATGTCCTTGATGAATGAGCAAAACAAAGGAGGTGCCAGTGAATCGATGCTGACACAGACACATTTGAAGAACTGGTACCAAAAACACAGCAGATTTTACAGATGATATGAAATTTAAAACAGCCCCTTGCTCAGTGTCCAGCTTTGTCGCTCTGAAGCGCTCTATAAATGCCAAGTTATGATTGCAAAAGCTCTGAGCCATGCGTACTGCAAGCTGGGCAAAAGTGAGAACATTCCTGAGGGAAGTAGCAGCTGGTGAATAGGAGCACTAGCAAAAGTGCTGTGGCAGAAATTATTGGTGTAAATAGGTCTGAAAAGAACTCTACTTCACCAAAGGACAGTGTATGGTGGGCAAAGCACAATTGGATCGTAACAGAAAAGTACAGGTAATCATTTTGCAAAACTTTGGGGAAACATTTTATAGTGTCAGTCAGTTTATTGGTAAATATGTTCGGCTTACTGCACCGTAGATCTAACGGCAATGTAGAAATCATCAAAACCCGTTGCTGAGTTTTCAAATGAACTCCTGTTACCTCCTTTTTTGCATCACAGGTTTGTAAGCGGAGTAAAAACAAGAGGGAAAGGCAGACTAACCTGTACTAGCATATGGCAAATTTCCACGTGGCCCATTTCAGCAGCTGCGTGAAGGGGTGTCCGCCTATTCTGGAGTTCAGCTCGAAAGTTAGGATCAATCCCGTCAACTGGAGAAAAGGCGAGAAAAATAATACACTCAGTTTAGGCTTTCGTTGAATTGGAAGCCAGTGACTGATCTGTTGGTAATGCAAATGGTTAACCAAATAGTCACATTCTGAAAGATGTAATAATAATGTAGTTTGAAGCCATAAGTAGTACAGAAGTACAGGAAAAGGCCATTCAACCTATGAATTCAGCTTCAGACAAAGTCACTGCACTGTACAGAAACTTTGTGAAGCACTTTGAGACATTCATCATTCTATCAAATAAAATGATTATTATTATTGATAGTCATCATCAAGTGATGATATTGAAACTTATCTTCGGCATCATCATAGATTACTATTCCATTTCTCTGGAAGAATTTGGAAGTCAATATTAAATTACTTTTGTTTTTTGTGAGTATTGTGGACCATTTTAGTGAAGTTAAATATTACAATAAATCCTTGGTATTATTAATTTAATACAATAGTGGGGTGGGGGGAGCTAATTGTTCGAATTAAGTAATAAGAGGAGTTTGCCTGGACACCAGAATAGGCTTTACAGAAAATATTCTGATGAGCATGATAACTAAAGATTGTATCCTTATACAAGTGGATTAGGTTCGACCATGACAAACACGATATGGAAGGCAAAACATGAGACGTTGAGAGCAAGTAGAAAAAGTCCTGATCAGGAGGGATAATGGACAGATAATAATTGGAGTCTAAAGAGAAATATGTACATGTGTGACTTTAGCTAATATATGGTAGCGCTCTCAGACGCCGTCCGGCGTGGAGGGCGCTATATAAATCCAAGTTGTTGCTGTTGTTACCAACTTACCCAACATTAGAAGCACTTTCTGCATCTCCCCTTGCTTTGCAGAGATGTACAGCTGTTTTGGGTGAAAACGCAACTTCTTGGGTCTATTTTGACAAAAAAAAGTTAGCACTTTGTTAAATAAAACAGGCAATACCACAGATTGGCATGATGAGGATGATAATAATCCTTGCATTTGCAATCACGTCTTTCAGACGTCTCAAAGCGCTTCACAGAATATACCATAAAGGGAATGATGTAGCATTGTTACAAAGGAGGTCAAATTTCACAGTATGTTGCAGCTCCAACATACAGTGCCAACATACAGGAGACATGAATTTCCATAAATCAACATAGTTGAGATCCCAATTTCAACTATGTCACCTTGGTGAAGCATCAGGTTGATGCTAGGAGCTGCCCTCCTGAGTTACACAGCTCAGGAGACAAGGGAATTGGAAAGCAATCAACAATCACACCCTTGCATGAAGAAATATAGTGGTAGAACATGCTCTGTTCCAAATGCTCTGTATGGCAGGGTAACTTATAAGCTCAGCGAGTTTACAGAAAGGAAAGCAACAAAAGAAAGTGTTCATAACAAAACAACCAAACAATTGTAGCTTGTTGAGTTGTATTTTTTGTTAAACCATAGATCTTATCACAACTTTTTTTAAACTGCTAGCACCTGCAAGGGTTGGCTCAGGTTTCGGGAAATGCTTACCTCTCTGTGTCAAGTGCAATAAGTATACTTTCCATGGTCTCTTTCCCAGGCCCTGTTGGCAGTCCTGTGGTTGATATGACTGCACCCGTTCTCAATGCAGTGAAATGCCCCGAGGTATCTGAACTATCAGCTACTTTGGAGATGGTGGACTCAGGCTTACTCTCCCCCATCATCCTCATCCGAGCACTGCTAGAGAGTTTTTTTTAAGAACTAAATGTTAGCTTAACAACAACAACAAATTATATTTGTAAAGCGCCTTTTACGTCTGCTTTTAAAAACTTTCCAAAGTTCTGCAGAAATCTTGACACTTTAAGACAATGATTTTAAGGCTACGAGAAAGTTTGGGCCATAGAGAAGTCCATCAAACTAATCTTCAGTGAAAGGAGCGCTACCCAACCAAAGGCAACTAACTCACCTTGCTGTAGTGGTGTCTGCTTTTCCGTTCACAGTAACCATCTTCTCCTCCTCTTCCTCCTCCTCTTCCTCTTGTGGTGGAATGACCGGCACCATCGAGGTGGTGTCTGCTTTCGCGATGGTAACTTCTTTTGCTTGCGCAGCATCCTCCCCACAGTGCGGACAGAAAGTCATCCCGTTCATTTCAGACGCACAGTTCTTGTGAAAGCGATGAGAAATGTTGTTATCTGGTTGGCATTCTATGAACGTCCCCTGGAACAAAAAATGTGACGCAGCCATAGGCAATTGGTATTTATTTTGTGAACATTCCTGGCAATGGTTAACAAAACATTTTGCTCTCCCACTCACACTCCCAAAAAATTCCCAAAGTAGAAGGTCAAGCAGCAATTTCATCCCATGTCCGACATGAAGGTCGCTATACAAGTGTAATTTGTTGTTTACACTTGTAAATTTACATTTATTTAGTGCCTTTAACATAAGGACATCCCAAGGGTGTCCCACTTTATAAACTAACAGAAATTACACCAACAAACTACCACCTCCCTCGAGATTTTCTTCCCTCTTGGGAAAAATGCCTCATCGATTTGCTTGTAAATTCACAGCTTCATACAAAGGGCTTGTGCACAGACAAGCACTTTTCTGTCTACCTACAAAGACTTTCCAGCAGCAGCTGTCTAGATAGGAGCAGTGCAGATTTCCCCCCTTCTCTATCTCCAGGAGGGGGCAGGATAGAACCTTATTTTATTTGTTTTCGATCTGGCCTAGTGCTTTGGAGTCCTGCACAGTACTAGTCTTTGATTTTGGTCCAAATAAGACATAGCATTTTCTTCCCCTGCCTAAAGACCGTTGCTCTGGACCAGATTGCCTGCACAGGAAGACAAACAGTGCAAGGAAACTGAAACCTAATGAACCTCTAACACTGCTGCCGAATTGGGGCGACAAGAACCATTCCACAAAAACTGATTGTTTGGTCCATCAAGGGGGGGGAACAATTCAATCCTGATCCAAATATCTTAACTCATCCCTTGAGAGGAAAGACACAAACTAATGCCAGGATTATGATGATTAGATTACTCCCTCTGCCAAACTCTCATCCGCCACCTGGTGGACAACTGGACATCTATTTACAGCCTCAGGACTCCCCAGTTGAAAAATGACACGGGACTGTCTATACTCACAGCAGTACAGAAGTATCCACATCCTGGACAACACTGATGTTTAACCATCCTGGCTCTGTGGTCCTCACACAATACCATTAGTTGCACGTTGTTGGAGGGTCGCATCATCTCTTGTTTGTTCACACTGTTGATGCATCTACTCAACTGCAAGAAACATTCACAAAATGTTCCACAAAATAGAAAAAAAAATACCAAAGGATACGTTGGCACATTTTAATATTTTAATTCGTAAAATCGGTCAAATCGTCACATCATATTGAAAATACAAGACCACCACCAAGGAAATTTCTTGTAAACATTTTATTTCAACCTGTCCCACCCATGCTGTAACTTGCAGTGTAATTTTATCTTCAGCACAAATATCTCTTCAAAGTAATATTGCTCGTTGAGACATTTAAGTTTTAAGTTCAGCCTTTCCGACTACGTAAAAACAACTTGCTACAATTCAGATGGTTTAATCATCAGAAATAGCCAATATATCCCCCACACAGTGGCTTTTTCTAACTTATGGAAGACTTACCTCATCGTCTATCGTCTCGGTGGCCATACACTTATCATTCACCGTCTTAAAAATCTCTCGGCTTTTTGGCGCTTCCATCCGGCAACTGCAAAGTGGCAGCTCTTGTAGCTTTTCGAGCTCCTGTAGTTTTTCTAGTTCCATTGGGTCAGAGCTTTGGGAAATACCTGCGCAGAATCCCCACAATGCTAAAGCGGCTCTTTTCAACTATATTTGGAAGTTATTATCAGTGTAAAACCGTTGCAAGCACCAATATCCAAAAGACGTTTGCATGGCATTAAAACCTCAGTGAAAAAAATGCAATCGTTCTAAACGTTTTTTTCCAAGTTGTACACTACATGCATCTCTCTCTATCTAAGCATCTCAACTCACTCGTCATTTACGTTTTTATTCATCCAATCGAACATTCTCCAAAGTGCAACAACTGAGAATTAATCAACTATTGATTGTCATAAATTGATCATCAGTTTCTGCCTGCATTACTATACACTTAAACTCCTTGCTGGAAGCCTATAAATGGCCTAAATCATGACAATATTGAATACTTTTTAAACCTGAAGTTCATATTGCTTAAGTACTGATCACACAAAATTAAAGTTTGAAAACATCCACCAGAAACATGCAATTATTGTTCTATATTCTACGCAATTAACTAATGAGATTTAGAAAGGCTATTACCGCTGCTGTTCAAGCAACACATTAAGCATTGCCTTCAAATTATTAAAATGCTTTTAAAGTTAGTAATTAACAACAATTAATTTTGCATCAGAAAAAATGAGAGTCGGCATGGTTTGAGTAGCACTGAAAACAGTAGTCATGTCAGTTTCGGATGAAGGACTCTCCCCTACTGAGCTCCATCTGGTGTGGAATGACTTTGGAGATGGGTGGAAATGTGAACCATTCCGAAAATTAATTAAACAAATGGAATAGTGCTAAACAAGTAGGGTTTACACTGTATTTTTTTTAATAGCTTAGAGTTCACACTGTTAAAACTCAAGACGATAATATTACCTGGAGAGAGTGAGGAGAACAGACCTCCTGCAGGCAGATCCAGTGAGCCAAGTGGCACCTCTGTATACTCAGTGCTGTCTGTCTGAGCTTGGGTCTCTGTTTCAGTACCTGAAAGCAGTCAAGATACATATTCCGATGGATAAAAATACAAAAGACCCATAATACACATCACAAAAGATACCTAATAATAATTGCATTGGTATTGCACCTTATCACGTCTTTGAGAGGTCTAAAAACATTTCACAGAATATACTGTAAAGTGAACTGACTGTATATCAATTCAATGTGTGTCCTGAAGCTCAATAGTTAGAGCACTCTCCATGTAAGCGTGAGTCCTGGGTTCGATTCCCGGCAGGGTGAAATATTGGGCAAGTTTCCTTATTCCACATGCATCCCCCGAGAAAGAAAAAACATAAATTGGTCACTTCAGTCCACAACTGTTTGTGGGACACTGCTGTGCGCAATTGGCTGCTGGGTTTCGCTGACAAACATACAGTCAATTCACTTTACAGTCTATTCTGTGAAGCACTTTGAGACGTCTAGAAGATGTGAGAAGCACTATATCAAATGCAAGTATTATTTATGTTTTGTGGGCGAAACACAGCAGCTAACTGCACACAGCAGTGTCCCACAAACAATCGTGGATTGAGTGACCAAATTTTTTTTTGATGGGGAAAAGTGTTCCGCCAATCTACTATACTTGCTGCTGGTAAGCAGAGGTGTGTGGTGTAAGGAAACTTGCCTAACGTTTTACTCTGCCCAGGAATCGAACCCAGGTCCTCTCGCTTGTGAGGCGAGTGCTCTAACCACTGAGCTACAGGACTCCACAGGTGACTAAACAGTGCTGGGGCTATAAATGCAAGGATTCTTCCCTGAAAGAAAAAAAAATCGGAACACATTTTCTTGTATACCGAGGGGAGCACTTTGGACAGAACAATCACCTTTGCCATTTAAGTTATCACATACCATGTAGCAGACCCCAATTGCCTGGAGTTCTAATAGGGAATTAATCTGAAAGGAATTAGATCTTCAGCCTCAATTATCCCACCAAAATGACAAACCACGATTGCATTATTTTGCTGCATCCCCAGTTTTATGCAAGACAGGCAATTCAAAAAATGTATGCTTGTGTGTGCTTACCTCTGCATACAGAGGATGCTGGGTGGACAAGCATTGAATTACAAGGTCTAATCCAATTGACTGGTTTTGATTAAGTCATATACTCTATTGGTTTATTTCTCTGTTCAGCTCTGAGATCAGATTAGTGCCAGTGAATCTTATCCAGACATCCAGTATACCGTATATGCTTGTCCATCAGAACATTTGAATGGAAAATTGGATAAATACTTCAAGAAAAATGTTTGCAGAGTACGAGGTAAAAAGGGATTAGGTCTCAGTAGGGGACAAGTTCAAGCAAGGTAACAAGCATCAGCATTAATACGATAATCCAAATAGTCTTGTGGACTGTAAGGATGATTCAAATGCCTCCTCACCAATCTCCCAGCTCCACCAACCACAAGTTCCAGTTCATACAAACCTCCACTGTCCTGACAATAGGAATGGAACAAATAGTCTCAGTATCCTTGGACAAGGAAAATAATTCAGACAAGGTTCTTACTCCTCATCTCCATCCAGTGATTCCCAGGAAGCACAAAAATAGTCCTTATAATCCTTGCATTTGATGTGGCGTTTCATCACATCATCAAGTCTCAAAGTGCTTCACAAAATTTTACTGTGAAGCGCAATAATTATTTGTCGGCGAATGCAGCAGGCAAATAGCCATGAAGTGAGTGACCAGTTTTATCTAGGGATTGTTGGCCAGAGCACCGGGAAAGATTCCTTTCTCTTTCTGGCATGTGCCATGCTTGAGAATCAAGGTGCAGAAACAATTGGGCTTGGCTGTGATGCTCAGTGCAATTATTTACATTACCTGCGATATTCCTGCTTTTTGGTCGATTTTTCCGCCTTCGCTTCCGTGATGGTTTAACCCACGGGTTGTCATTCTTTCCCTTTTTCTTCCACTTCCTTTTCAAACCAGATTCTGAACTCTGCGTGGTCAAAGACAAAATTCGGAGTTTTTTCCTCTGGCAATTTCTTTGTTACAAACCATCGGCAAGATTATTAGAAGGGCTAATGTCACACGAGAAACCAAGCCCCAACATGCCTACGTGGCTCAGTACCACACCACAGGTGTACTACATCAGGAGGGCTTGTGTGAGTTGCCTTTTAATGCTATGTTAGAGAGGATACACGTCAAGCTGAAGAGGCATGTAGAACCAAATAAAGCGAGACTCAGACAAGTCAATTTTGAGAAATCATGCGAGTTGGTAAGTGCCAATTTTCAAACAGAGAATCAGAAATACTGAAAAAAATCCTATGTTTGGGTGCCGAGAATCCTCAAGAAACTCAAGTGCTCATATTGCATGCATCAGGATACTATAATCTCAGATTTCCCTAGTTATTGGCCGAGTAAATTCTTCAGGTTTAGGTGAAAAACACCTCAACTTTATGGTAGCACATACACCCCTAGAACTTACAACTCACCACATCTGACTCAAAGTCATCATCTTCCTCCTCCATGTCATCAGTATCTTGGTCCTCCTCAGGATCATATCCCTCTTGCTACAAGTGAACCCAAGGAAGGTGGAAGTGGAAAGAGAAAAATAAAAGCACCGTGCATAAAAAAATCCCGCAATTATAATTCTTTGATGTTCTATCTGTGTATTTAAAATGTCAGAATGTATATAAAGCAAAAAAATGTGGCACAAAAGCCTTAAGATAAGTTTTTTTCATTTTGCGGGGGGGAAGAGAAGGGCAAATTGTAGAAAGAATGACAATAGCAACCGAAAACAACAGCTTAAGTAAATGTTTAGTGTTTAACCTTTCAGGTCGGTCAACCAAATACATTTTTCTACATTGAATTTTTCTTCATTGAAGGCCACGCCATGGGTATCGCGGCTCGGTAGTAACTGGAAACAAGGTCTTGATGTGGTGTAAAGCCGTGGCCCGTGAGCCACTTTTGGGGGCATCAGGAACTAGCAAGTCTGCTGCAAATCAATACAGTGCACCTGGTTTCCAGTAGCTACCAAGATATTGCTATACCCATGGCACCCATGATGAAAAATTCAACAGAATTTTTTTTATATACTTCATCTGCTGACCGAAAAGGTTGGCCACCACTGGTGTAGACTGTGAAGCAACCAAAAAAGAGTTATAATCTTAAATTTGTGATAATACGGCACATGTACATACTTTCTTAGAAGATTCCATTTCACGAATGCTGCCCTGAGAGGAGCTCCCAGTGCCTCCACAATCTGTTGAGAGCTCGGAATCCGGTTGGTCTGCAACACTGTATTTTTCCTCTTCCTCCTCATACTCCTCCTCTTCCTCCTCCTCAGACTCCATCTCTTGAGATACATCGACATTCTCCCCGTTTATATTCTCAACGACACCATTAGAAGAGTCTTTCTGTTCCTGCAACACAGAAGGAAAGCTTATAGATCTACAATAATCCTTGCATTTGATATAGTGCCCGATCAACATCGTCGAGACGTCTCAAAGCACTTCACAGGATATACTGTAAAGTGGATTGACTATTTTGTGCGCGTAATGTCGCACGAACAGTTCTGGGAGACAAACTCCAATGTTAAAAAGTAAGCACAAATGGTAGATTGCCATTGATTTTAAAGGTGGCTTTGAAGCCATGTTCACACCAGTACATTTGAAATCCATCATTTTAGTATCGGTATAAAACCAAATAAAGTTTCCTGAGGCAACAAGCAAAATTCATTTTCCCTTTTTTTTGCCACATACATATCCAAAATCTATTCTGTTTCCAATTGACTTCCAAAACTTTTGGATTTCAAATCACACCTTGATTTTTAAAAAAAAAACTACACGCTTCCCACAATAACATAATAATCCTTGCATTTGATCCACCGTCTTATCATGTCGTTGAGATGTCTCAAAGAGCTTCACAGGATAACAGGATACACAGAATTGATTGTATATTTTGTGGACGATTAGGTAAGTGTAGCACAAATTAATTTTGATTGTGCAAAATTGTAACTTCACATCCACTTCAGTGAAAGATAGATGAACAAGATAAATCTTTTCTTAAAATAACATCAAGACCTGACCATGAAGAACAGATTTTTTCTTAAACCTGTGTAATAATAGCAGCATGGGTTTTACAATACACCAGTGTCCTGTTTCATGGTACTTTTCCACTCCCAAGGCCTTTCTTCCAACCCTTTGTGTATTCTGTGCCCAACTCACCAAACCTAACTGAAGTCCCACAGTTGAAGTTTTGTAACACACCAGATTGAAGCTTCCAGCACTGATCTCCACCAATGAATCGTGTCCAAGAAATGATGCATTGGTTTGTGATCAAAATGGAAAGATGCCGACTGCAATAATTCACGAGGTTTACTGAAGACGAATAACTGAGTGCTTTCGGGTGACTACAATACTTGAAAGGAAATCACCAAGTCTTCAGATGTTGGGAGAATTTGTAACCATTGCCCTGGAAAACCCTTTTTGGGGAGAAATTCAATGGATGCTGCTTCCCATTAATCTTGAGAGTGTAACCTTAGTGGCTATGGTGGGGTTGGCTCATTTCTTCTCAGGTCTAATGTGCACCCATCTTTGATTTTATTGTTATCAATTTAATGGTAGATGTGATATTTATCACACTGAATGTTCTCTGATGTACCAGAAGGCCTGACCCTGTTTTCAATGGCAAAGCCCACGAAACTGGGCCTGTGGTATTGGATTTTCAGCTCATGATAACTGTTTTTTTAAACTAAGCATCCTGCTAACTACCCAACTCCATGGACTTTGCCTTTGAGAATGGCATCTGGAGACTACCTCTGCCAAATCCAGATCCTTTCAATGCGACAGAACATGAATGTAAATTGGCCTCAACATCTTGCGCTGAAAACACTGGGAAGAGAGAAGCGCCAATTGTGCAGGAGTTAAGTGTAAAAAGTTTGTGATTCTGCAATGGGAAGTTCCAGGTTAACTGTTAGACAATACAGTACAAGTCATTTTTACCAGTCACGTATGGAAGTGGCAATTGGAGTAAATAGAGGCAAAGTTCAATGGTGGCTGCTGTAGAAGAGATCAGTTCGAACTGCTAAATGCTTTGTAGTTACGAAGAACCTCAGCTAAAATGTCTGCCCAAGACAACTTCTACACCAATTAATGCACATTGACAACTGATAAGGAATTGGAAAAGAAAAAGGAAACTGTGCTCTGGGTCACTCTTAGAAGCAACCGTATTAAGGGGTATGGAGAAAGACATGGAAATGGAAATAAAGATCTGCTTTGATCTAATGAACTTGGAGCAACAGGGCTAAATGGCCTTCTCCTGCTCCTACAGGTCTAGAAGGTCTTTTTGGTCAAATATTCTATGGAGGCAGCTTCCTGGTGTCTCTTTACTCGGTACCATTCTCAAAATTTTTATTCAAAGGATAATTTTTTTTAAATGGGTTTTTTTAAAAAAAAACTGACCAACAAGAGAAACAAAAATGTATCAAGTGAAGGGGAAAAAAATAAGCAACACATAATTTTGAATTGTGTGAATTGTTGAAAATTTCAAGCTGAACTGCCCCTACAGCCTCATTTGTACTTTTTTTTAAAGTAGTGAACAAAATATATACTCTGTGCAGAAAGTTTACATTTTCTGGACCCACCTCCATGCCAGATGCAGACCGTGATATGTTCTGAAACATTTCAAGTACTGTGCGCTGTTTTAGCAGTTTGGTCTTCTTCTTAGGAACCAGGCTGTAAATCCCCATTTTTCGCTTCTTCTTCCTAGCCACTGTCAAAGTTTTAATTATTTTGAACATTTAATAAAATAAACACTAGTATGCTCTGCAATTTGTGTCATAACTGCAATTCATATGTCTAATGTGCTACGTTCCTAGGCATAAATACATGTAGAATTAGTTACATGTCCAAATCAGACCTGTTTTTTATTCCATGGACTGGATAAACATGGATTATGTACAGTACATCAAAATGCGCTATTTAATTCTTAAATGAAAGCAATTTTTTTTAAATAAACGCTTTGGCCTCTGAACTATTTCGAAAGCTATTGCCTGTGTGTAATCTGTTTTTAAAAAGACGAGCGATATCCAGCCAGGAAATGTTACTATAGCACTACCACTCTACATTTTTACTGTCAAGCGCTTCCAGTAAACCTACAATATTGACATTAGTTGATCTCTATAACAAACGCACATTTGAAAAAAAACTTACTGTATTCCGGTTCAGTTTCCTTTATTACCTGACTGTGGTTTGCTAGTGGCAGTATTGTTCTGATTCTGAGGTAGTATCTGTTGCTGTGGTGGTGTTGGTTGTTGTGATGGTGCTGGTGATGGTGGAGGTGGAAGTTTTGTTCCAGATTCTAGACTATTTACACCTTCTTCCTTTGGGTCTTTGTTTGGTGTCTTTAAAAAGGCAGAAGTACAAAGTGAATGCCCTTTCCACTAGTCTTCTCAGAACGCTCACTACTCTACATTTTTTACTCTACACTACACAAAGTCATTTTTTTTTAAAAAAAAGCCACAACTTGAAAACATGTTCCCAAGATAATGCAAATGATATCTTTATTGGTTTAAGGAGTTTGCTAAACATCCAAGCTCCATCTAAATAATAAGAAGTTCAAATGTATTGTGTGGCAGCAATAAAGAATACTTTTTAAAAAAAAACGTTATACGCTCGGGAGACTTTTCACAAGATTCTGTGATTATAAATCTCTTAATCAGAGGGATTATTCTGTGGTTAACAAAGCGACTGAGTCAATGCCAAATATATGTGAAAATCACAAGTTGTCTCAGTGGGTCACCAAAATAAAATGTAGGTTTGCAAAACAAAGCTTCTCCACAAGTCCTTGAAATGGAAGACTTCTGAAGACAATGGAAACTATCCCTGCGCACATAATCAAGCAATTATCGGCATTAGACGGGATGGGTTATCGGGCCTCAAGTGCAAACGTCCATTAACTGGCAAGTGATCAGATTAAATTCGCTTGAGTGAATGCAGAATACCTTGATTTACCAAATTCCTCTAAGTGGTCTGAATCTAAAATAAAAACAGTTTTCAAAGGAATTGTTCTGGCGTCTTTTTTTAAATAATCACATTACTTGATAAACTTGGTGATTGAAAAATAATGAACTCGAACTGCATTGTTTATGAATGATGGGCCTTCAACGGTGCCCAATCACTAGTATGAAATCCCAGCCACAGCCGGATTTAAAAAACTTGTACAGGAGCAAACTATACCTAATTTAGAACCTCCCTCTGTGTTAAATTAGGCTTCACTGGTTCCTCATTTAAAATTTCTCTCAAACAATTTTTGGTTAAAATAAAGCACCCAAAGGGTCAAGTTATGATTGTTGTAACGAGATGGTCGCTGTGATATGTGCGAGTGAGTTGCTCATGGACACAATTTAAGCTTTCCTAAGATTAAGGTTTCCCTAACACAGCAGATTTATCTGCTCATTTTAACAGTGCTGTACTGTTTTGAGTAGTATTTCACGATGGATTTATTTTACAAGGGATTTTTCAGTCTGCTAAGTTATCCACAAGGGGAAGATGGTGGGCGGGAGTTGAACCTGCAAAGAAGTAGGAAGATATTGTATTGAATGTTTTGCATTCAAAGCACTTCACTTTTAGCCTTTTAAGTGATGATAGCCAAGCAATAATCAGTGGAGGAGTTGGGAACAGCAGCAGAAGGATCAAATAGTTCCAGAGGATGCTGATAGCTAAGTCATGATCTCCTCTTCAGCAGGTAGAAAAGGTAAATAAAGAAGACAGGTGTAGAAAAAGAAAATGGAAGACTGAAAGTGAGACAAAAAGCACACACAAATATATGATGGAACAAGAAGCAAAAAAAAAAGAAGCAAACAGAAGACATAGATATTAAACTGAAGCAGAGAAAATAGAAGAGGAAGTTTCTTTCTCAATGCATTGCTGATTATGTAAGAAAGCTTTCTGGGCATTTCTTTGTGAACCATTGTTTAAAAAAAGGCTCAATGCCTAAATCATCATAATACAAGCTGGCAAACCTGAGACTGCAAGGTGTCACCATTCAACTGAGAGATAATAAAGTACTGACAACTTTGGAATCATAAACGTAGCTCCCCCAATGAGGTATGTTAAAAACCGTACCTGTCACATTTATGAGATCTCACATTTCTGAGATTTCTTTCCCCCTCGGTAAGAGCAAGTCATTTCCAATATAGCAAAACACAGTTTATCCACACACTACTTATCCACACGTCTATTTGTTCACGTGGGCTCCAATGAGAATGATAGATGCGGATGTGTGATGACCAACTGGCTACTTCTCCTGGGGGAAGGGGGCAGAACCAATAAAGAAATAAGAAGAGCGCCCACCCCTCCCCACCCATCCCAACCATTACCAACTCCAAGAGTACACACTGTAAAACAAAGGTGCATAAGAGAAATGTTCAGGCGTGATCACCTAGAGGCTTGGGTGATCATTACGAACAATTTTAAATCAATGACAAATTCACGTGATCAATTGATGAGATTACATTCTTGAAATTCTTAGTTCTACTGAAGAATAGCAAGACTGCGGGTCTAACGTGAGGTGATTTCAATTCCATCCAAATGGCACTCCTTTCCGTTGATTGGAAGTACACCACACCAGCACGCAATGTTAATTGACATTACATATACTCACAAGATACTTATTTAGCCAATCAACTGAACATCAGTGAATGCCTGAGTCAAAGTGAGGATACAGTGCTGGAGGACCTACGCTATTCACTACACTTATGAGGAGCAAAATTCCCAACCAAATACCTCCCCAGAACACCGCTTGGGAATCAGGTTTTAACCCTTTATTCACTTCTCCGTGCCTTATTTCCTCTCCAGTCTTTCTATGTCACCTTTTCTGACCACTTAATCTTTTACTCAGTCACTTTAAGGAAAACAATAAATTCACACAAACTGTCAAAACGGACGACTAAGTGTGGTAGAAATAAAGTGCCTCAGATCAATAGCATGCAAAGAAATTAATCATTTCAATGGCAAATTATAGAATTTACTAGCTCTTTGGACTTTAATTCCCAGCACTTAATTTCCATTTTGGCAGAAAAAAAACGCCTTCCAAGTTGTAGTTTTTCACTCACCTAGTTGCTGCCATTAACTGGTGTGAGGAGATTTTTTAAATCAGCAGATTCTCCTGAGATTTTAACAACAGTTTGCTTATGGCTGCTGTCTAAATACTGGCTGGAACTGTAAAAATAAATGAAAGCAGCTGCTTCCCCCCTTCCCCCTCACTTGTAACTACCCCAATCCAGGGTTAGGCAGTCAACCTTCTAGTAGGCCTCTCTTAATACTGATCGACTGCTTGAATGTTTTAACCGCAGCCCAGCATGACTAATTAACAGGCCAGGGTTTTGTATTTTTTCTCTCTGAGAAAGTATAATGTTTATTTACACTCAACATCTCCCTCGGATCTATGTTGAGGCAGAAATCCACTGTGTACAGAAAGAATCCACACTCTACCACTGCAGTGTGTACAAGTGCACTAACTTCTGTTATAGTAAGTTATTCAGAAAGCAAGAGTTTCCTTCAATGGTGCATCTTAGAAAGAAAATAAAAAGCAAGATTTTTAAATTCTTTGTTCCACTAGTGCCGAAGTATTTGTCAATTCAAGCTAAAACCAAAATGAAGACGGATCGGACACCCATTTGATACATCAGATTGCATACCATTATGAAAGGTTTATAAAATCGGTTAAATATTTAGATTCACTTCATACCCAATTGTGATTGAGATAAACTCTTGAGAGTTTAAGATTTCTTTTAAATCCAGAAATGCATGTTTTTGTTAATATTGAGAACTGATAAGAGAAATCAAAGCAATGCAATTCCGTCAGCAACATAGGAGAACATTGTGAATGATGGCACTTAAGCACGGGACCAACTGATTTCCCAAATAGAGTAACCATCTCGCAACTCCCAATAGTTCTGAAAACATTTTGCACAATATATGTTGCATGTGTTTCGCATAAAATGGGAGTCAGCTTTTTCGGAGAACAAGAACAATGACGTTCATAAAGGAAAGCGGTGCAGTGCCTCAGTAAGGCAGATTGAATGCTATGTTCTCCTCTACTTAGAAAAGGAAACGGTTTTCCAAGTGAGAATTTCATTGAAATGAACAAAGTTTATACACAGAAAAGTATTTGTTGTTCCAATGTCCACAATTCATTCGTGTATTTTTAACCCCTCTGACATGGAATCTTTGTTAGTATTATGAGGAAGAACAGCATAAAGTGGACACGGCAGAGAAATAAGGATGCAAAGGCAGTGCAGGATATTTACTGACAGAGCAACAGTACAATGTGACTGATTTAAGAGAATATCTTACAAGTATCCTGGTTTATTACTCATTACATAGTATTTATTGGAAGGTCCTGCAAATGGTCAACTCATAACAGGATAAGGCACGAATGGAACAAGTTCTGGAACTGAAATTTCTCTGATCCTACCTGCATTTCAGCTTTTCATTGACAATCTATACATTCTGAGAGTGTACATATAGCAAAGATTCCCAACAGATCAGTGGAGTCCAGAAGCATCAGACTCGAAACGTCAACTAATTACTGACCAGGTTCAATGTGGCAATCCCGTCTCACTTAAACCACAGGCAAACCCAGTCAATGCAGTTGCCCAAATGGTCCCAAACCAATATGATGCAGTGTAACTTGCACAGATCGTTGAGTGTTTAAATACCATTTCACTGATATGGATTATATGTGAACAATGTACAAATATTAAGGCCTTGTTTCTGTAGAGTCAAATTCACTCTAATTACCCAAACGGTAAACACTGGCATTCAATACCTCGACAATTTTCATTTGAAAAAAACATTCTTGCATTTCAAAACAGAACTCTAATCAACTCTAAATTTGGGTCAAATTTTGTAAAATCTTCAACAGGCCACGGCAGAAGTCCTCATTCACCAGAAACCCGAAACTGAGAATTGTGCTGCACTTGCGAATGGTAATAAGATTCTTACCTGATTTGTGTTGGTTTTGGGTAGAGTCTTCCTCGCTCTGTGAACCCTGACCTCAGTGGCGAGGCCATGTGTGAGATTTTTAGCCTGAGATGCATTTTCTTCTGTATTTTCTTCTCCTGATTTGGCCAGTGCCACACTGAGCGGTTTCATGGCTTGGTTTTGAGAAACTTCGGTAGTTCTCACTGCGTTCATACTTTTTACCTTGTTGGCTCCCCCAGTCTTGCTGGGAGAGGAAGGAAGTGTTTTGGCAGCATGACCGATTAAAGAAGCAGTCCCGGTCTGTACCTGCGATAAAGGTTTACTATTTAAAACAAATCCATTGCTTCCTGTAAGAGAAGCCAGTGTCAAATCGTCTGAATTCATATGATTACTTGCTTTAACAGTCTTATTGTCTTCGTCTAAAATTCCATTTTCGTTTATCTGGTTGAGTTCATTGAGATCCTGCAATTCTCTTTTCACAGTGTCCTGAGTGTGTTTAAGTGGAGTCTGATGATTCTTTGCCGAAGACGCTTCTTCACTCCTTCCACAGGAACCATTGGTTTCACCGTCTGCAGACATCTCACAAGCTTCCACCGACTTCCCTGTGGCACTCACGTTGGCCGCTGTGAGGTCACTTCCTGTGGAAGAGGTCACACAACTTGATTACTTCCCACTCCCAAGATCAGAACGCCATGTCTCACAAGAGCAAGCGGACTAACTGAAGGTGGAACTGCAGACACGGGTAATAGCAAGCTCTTTCAAAGCATTGTTTTGGTAATAGGTGAAAGCATTCAGGAAGTGCATTAGACTGTTTAAATGCTGTAATGCAGGGTTCAGGTTTAGTTTCTCCCCGTTCCCCGTTCCCCGCCATCATGAATGCAAACCGTGAAGCAGAGAATAAAAATCCTTCTGAAACAAAAACATTCATTAGGTCATTTTAAACTTATGAACCAGCTCAAAGTTGCGCTAAATAAATGAAAGCATACAAGTGTTTCCACCCTTATGGTAACAATAAAAGATGCTGAAACTGGCTAGAGGGCGCACTAGGTCTTTCTTTGACTGGAAATTTGGATGTCGGTTAAGTTTTTGCCTGGATACCACTTGATCCATAACTGATGTGGGTCAGGAATGCGTAGGGAGTATCTTACATACTGATTTTTATGGACTTCTACAGTTAATTCAACTACTTGAACTAAAGTTGTTCATATACAAACAGAATTTTGAAGGCATGTACAGTAAAACCACCAGGGTTTTTTTAAAAAGAAAATGAACAATTTTAGAGAATTCCATAATGGATTCAAACACTCGATGACAGTAATTTATAGGTTTAATGTTTAATCATTATGACTTCTAACATACCAAAAAATACCGAGAAACAAACTCCATCACAAATGTGTCCTATACAGACGTGAGCGGTTCAATGGCCATTCTTCAGTGCTGTAAATTCCTACGGTTCCATCACCAAAAATGTTCAGCTTCAAGCTGCCAAACACTCTCCTTACATAAGGTTGAGTGGCATTTACTGAGCTTTAACCATGGAACAGCAAAAGAACAACTCGCACTTGTATCACGCCCTCGATGCAGGGTAGCATCTCAGAGCACTTAAACACAACAGTTATGCCAACAGCTACCAAATTGCACCTTCTAAATTAACTGAGCAAAGCCTACCTGTAATCTTAATGCTTACCTTTCACTTAAAAGTGGGCACTTCACCACAATAATAATACTTCTTGCATTTGACATAGCGCCTTTTCAGATCACTGAGACATCTTGAAGCACTTCACAGCATAAATCTGATGTTGAATTAAGCATGTTGGTTCCATAACAAAAATAGATGCAAAAGATCTTCAATGCATTGGAATGGTGAACTTAATTCTGCTGTATCAAAGTACTATAGTTTATAAATGTATGTCCACTCACCATTCTCTTCAGTAGTAGACAGTTCCTTTGCAACCTCCAGCTTTCGATCTTCTATAGCAGTGTCTGCCCCTGTCATGCCTGCAGACTAAAGCAGAAACAGGATGACTGAACCACAATCAAACAGGTACACCTTGGTGGCTACTATTTAAAGATGTTCATTTATTATGCCAGCATTTCTCCCTTCTGCCAGTTACTCCAGCGTACAATTTCTCTTTGTGCAGTTTAGAAATTAACAGGAGGCAATACGGAATAAAACAGAGTGTTCCTGCGTCTTCCTCCAACGAATTCAACTTCTGTATTTTACTAGCTCATGAAATCGGCTGCATTTATACAAGTAATTGTTCTTAAAAACCTGTATTTAGAAAAAGGGAATCTGCGTCTCTCTCCGTGTCACAGCTACATCTGCAAACAATCCCATCCCCAAAATTGGGTACTACTTAAGAACTCACTAAAATCATTCAGATTAAAAAAAAACTACTTATGCTTGCCCATGCAGAGGACTTTAACTTTTTATTTCCAATATCCTCAGACAGTCCTCGTATAGTGATCAAATCTAGGTTTAGAGGAAAGTGCTACACAGGAGAGGTGGGAGACAAGGCTTATCACTTTTTCAGGCATCTGAGGTTCTTATGTGAACCCTGTGCGCTTATTTTATTGTCCAAGGCTATGAGTTAGTTAGCAAATGGCTTTGTCAACAGGTAAAATAATGACGAGGTGGATTTTTATTATAAAGCAATATGAAGCCACACTGGTTGGTTCACTGGCTATCCTTGTGGGAGCTCTTCTGTGCAGAGCCAAGTCTAGCCATTTTACCCTTGATTTTTCCTATCCATTGAGTTTCCTTGAAATTACTCAAAATCTTTTCCCGAACCCTTCCCACAAGACAGAAATAAAAAATACGAATGAAGCAAAACCACACAACAGAAGGCAGCAGAGAGAAAAATGTGGCAATTGGTTTGGGGGGGCGGGGGGGGTGGGGGGGGGGGGGGGGAGGGAAGGCCTTCCTGCAATTCTAGTTGTTTAGACTTTAAAACCTTAACCCAAAAGAAAATCACGCATATCCTCGAATCTGTAGGCTGAAAACAAGTACAGCAGTAGAAAGAAAAGCCTTCTTTCGCTCACCAATAGAAACGGGATTCAGGCAACTGATGTTGGCTAGCTGTGGGAGAAAAGTAACTGAGGATCATCCAATATGGCTTCTCTTATAGGTTGGGAGCAGCGAGTGAAGTCGCATGGATTTCAACCAAAGGGAGGTGGAGTCTTAAAGGGGCAGGCGTCTCTGCTGCTTGTTTCAAATGGATCAGGTACTGGACTCCAAAGGCGGGCGGGTCAAACCAAACTATAAGCGTTTCATTCCCTGTCCCCAATTATTCCATGATGTTTTGTGAAACTGCGGCGGCTCTCAGTAACCTTTATGAAACTAAAAGGTGATTGTTCCATTCACAATAAAATGTAAAGTTGAAACCCTTGTTTCAACCTGCTCAGCTCGCTCAGTCTTCTGTACAGTACAATCAGTCTAAAAATACCAATAGTTGAAACAAACCTATTTTTCTCTCATCTTTCTCACAAGAGGTAATTTTGTTTCCAGCATCCATAAGCACAATTTAATACAGGTTGTGGAGAATAAAGCTATATTAACCTTTGTTTAAAATTGGACACAACGCATCCAAATCTTCCAGATTATCCCAATACTCCACTTATTGTCACATATTTCCCCCTCCCCAAATCCAAATCTCAAAATAACTAAGACTGGATTACAGAAACATGAAGAAAGCAACAATTCTATTGGATTTTGCATTAAATCGCTAAATTAATTTGGTAAACAATCCTATTCTCTACAAACCACTGTGATGAAAAAAAATCACAAAGCATTGCCTCCGATATTTCCAGCCTTTGTTTTAGCTCAACCTAGGCCAAATGATTTTCTAATGATTGGCTCACAAAGTCAACACCCATGCGCTCAAATAAAAATGAATCCACGAGCTGAAGCCGTCTGCCACTCACTGGGAGCTATTTCATATTAAGAGTACCTTTCCTCTGCCTTTCATGTTCCTCTCAAGCATAGCAGATTCTCAAGTTATGGACACAGAGTTTCGGGCGACATTTTTCAAAACATATAGCTTGCTGCCCCAAACTTTCTGTAAAGGTTTACATTGCACAGGGATTCCATTACGCTTTGAGAAAATTGTTGTGCAGGCTACGTAATCGTGTATAGACTAAAATGCACTTATGAAACATATTGAGAGAATAGAATTGCACAAAACATTGAAATGCTTAAAGCCATGAAGTGTAATTTACCTCACCCATTTGCAAGTATTTTAACTAATTCAACCAAACTAGTGACTATGCCCAGCAAAGAGCACGGCCCACAATGCCAGGGGTGGCAAAGAGTAGTGGTCAAATCAGAATTACATCAGCTCTGATAAGAAAAACCCTGCATCATATTATTAAGATATTCGGTAGCAAAGTTAACCCGGAGGCAGCTTGACCCATGTAATGCAGGTTATTGTGAACTTGAAAACACTGCTATTTATCATTGGTCAACCATACTGCTTCCTTTTGTTTGAGCCTATTTAATGAACATAACTCCAAACTGCATGGAAAAATTCTACCTTGTTTCTGATATCACATAGAATCAAGGTATATTGAAGTTAGATTTTGAGCAGAATTCTCAATTTCGTTATGAATTTAATTTCCAAAATGGTACTTGCTGCAGTGAGTAAAATCAATAAACACTATTGCAGGTCATTTTATCCATGTGCTGAGATCACAGCAGTTCCCTACCTACAGGGTTCAAAATACAGAACCTGCAAATGCATCAAAACTAAAAAAAATGTAGTGCCATCAATAAGGTGTATTATCAGGTCCTGTTATATGGGAAGAGTGAGTAACAGCTTTGTTTTTAAGCTTTGAACTCTCCCACTAACTATTCACTGGAGAAGTACCAACATCTTCCCAAACCTTGCTTTAGTAAATCATTTTAATTTAACACTGTATGTACGTTGACATACAGAATAAAACCATCTCATAAAACAAGTGATTTTGCTTCAGCCTTGATCCTAAAGACTTAGTTTGGATTTGATTTTCACTTAATGTTCTCAGCAGAAAAGGTTTAAAATGGATTCTGTAAATATCTGAGGCACTCAAAGCAACTATTAGGATGTTAATATCACTGGTTGATGCATTTTTGTCTACAGATTAGGACTCAATTTGAGATCACATGTATGTTCAGTTTACATCCTTCAGTACTATGTTCTTTTCTCGATTTGTGGCTCTTGAAAAAAGAAAATATTAAACAAGTACAAACACATCCTAACCATCTGCTTGCTCTACATTGTTTTGTTAGATCTATAGTGAACTAGTTTTACATTTGTTTGACATTCAATGAGTTTGAGGCAACTGCCAAGTTACCTCAGAAGGCCAATGTAATCTACATACCACATCTGAACTCCTTTAAGAAACATTTAAATTGTCGATGCAGTGGACTTTACAATTTGAGACTTGAAGCAACATTGCTTTGCTCAGAGAAATGGAGTCCTGTTATAACTTCATGTTAAATTTAAAGAGTTTTCGAAGCAACTGATCACAAAATCCGATCTTTAAATTTAGAGCAACTAATTCACACTGTTGGCTTTGAACCATCTGCAGCACAGCCATGAAAAATAAAATTGTTGGGTTTGAGAGACTCGGAAATATTAGCTCGCAGGCAGTAGAGGAAAAATTACCTGCACGGAAGAAAATGTCTTCAAAAGTGAAGATCTAAGGTCATTTTGGGGGATCTCTCTTTGGACAAAGACTCAAGCAGTTTTGAATCCCAGTACCTACCAAATACATTTATCTGAATTTAGTCTTCATCTCCCCCTATAGGCTGCAATCCAGTGTCCTGAGCATGCTCAATACAGGCATTTCACTGCAGATTCAGCCATTTCATAACACAACTGCTTGCAGACACAATCATCTGCCATTTTGAGGCTGCATTAGACAATGCTGTTATGGTCTTAAACTCTGTAAAATCTCATCACAAAAATAATTCATGAAACAGTGCCATTGATTTAATCTAAAAAACTGGGAAATACATACCCCGATCTGCCTTAATGCTGAGAGGTAGAATTCTAGACAAAATTAGGTTTTCTTCGAAGCAAATCCAAACTGCTAATAAATTCACTGAGCCCCAAAAAATGCTGCTATGTCATTCAGTTATAAATAGGTAACACAATCTTGGACATATGAGAGTATGATGAAGCATGCAGGACTACATTGTATAATCCAGTGTCAAGACTAATTATTTCTGCAGAAAACTGTCTCCCCGCCCTTTATAAAGATCCTTACAAATCACTCGGAAGCAAAATGCAATCAGAAGCCATGAAATGCCAAGATCTTGCATGATCAGCTGTATACATTTCTTCTGGAAGATTTGTGTTTTTATAAAGCAATAAGCAAAGAAGCTTCAGAGAACACTGCACATCTGATCAAACATCAAGGTTGCATTTTCACTAAAAGTATTAGAGAGTTTCTGGATTAAAAACAATTTTGCATTTCCACAGAATTCAGAAAGCCTCAAGTTCTAAAGAAAAGCAACTTTAAGCGCATTTATGGTCTTTGGGGTAGAACCGTTATTCGTGTATTATTACAAAATGGTAATTGCCCATTAAGAATGTAGCTCCTCAAAATTCACACACACACACACACTGAAAGCACTGTATCTAATAGTTGAAGTAAGACATAGATACTGTGTAATCGAGCCAGAATGTTTATACGTCCCACCTCATACTGTACCAACAGTAAACTGAGAAGCTGCAAAATTGTTTGCCATGTAACAACGTCCATAACATGCTGCAAACCTGCCCGCCTTCTCACCATATCCCTCAAGATTTTTACTCCTCTGAGTATCCATCCATCTCCGCTCTTAAATCCCTCAACTGATTTCTCATCTAAGGCGATTGATCTGAATCAGGGTCTTTCTCGTTCTTTATAGCTCAGTATCACATTACTCGGCCCCACTGAAAGAACAGGGGAGCCCAGCTGATGAGTTAGAAGTAGCAATCACTTTGAAACACATTCGAAAGCGGCAATTGTGATCGCGTC